GATGGATGGATGGATGGATGGATGGATGGATGGATGGATGGATGGATGGATGGATGGATGATGGCTGGCTGGCTGGCTAGATGGAAAGATGGATGGATGGATGGACAGACAGATAGACAGACAGAGACAGACAAAGGCAGGCAGGCAGACATAGATGATACATAGGTAGGTAAGTAGGCAGGTAGGGTCTCTTCCAAAGAGACTCACTTATCAGCTTGGATTAAGAAAACCTGGATTAATAGTTGCCAGAAACTTTTTAAAAGCTGGTTTTTGCATCCAGGTCTCCTTCACCATTTCCAAGATGGGACTCCTAAAACAATCCATCTCCCTCTCACCCCCAAACCCAGTAGTAGGTGATTCCTACCACAGCTACCTCACTTATATCAGGCAAGCAAAGGCCGCTCTCTCTGGAACTTTTCCATCGGTACCAATATTTTGGTAGGTCATAGTGAAGAGGAAGTGATATTATTACTACCAGAGTCCTTTGAAATCTTTGGCTGTTGGGGGTGGGGGGGGGGTTCAAAGCAGCTCCCTGCAACCACTAAGCCTCACTGCCACCTCCCCACCCCTCCTCAAAAGAGAGAGTGTGGGGTAAGGCAAGCATGATGGTTACTTTAGACGCAAGATGATGTTGGGGTTGATTCTAAAAATGGTGGGAATCTCTGGTTGCTAGTTCACAATTCCCATCGAGGCCAGGCATTTAATTCAATGACCTCCAGGTCCAGTGAATAGAAGACTTGAATAACAGAGCTGGAAGGGACCTTGGAGGTCTTCTAGTCCAACCCCCTGCTTAGGCAGGAAATCCTTACACGACTTCAGACAAATGGTTATCCAAACTCTAATCTCCTATATCTATCTAAAAGCGAAATACCCCCCACCCATCATCACAAAATTCCAGAACCATAAAGCCTACAAACTTGAAATTCCTCTTGGCTTCTAGGGGCTCACTAAGAAAGGATTTTTCCAAATGACTATTGGAGCATTAGTATTTCATATATTATAATTACTGTATTATGAACACACTTTGATGCTAAGGAATTCTACTTCCCACCTGAAAAAAAATCTGTTCCAAATGCAAAACACAAGCAGAGGAGAGGAGTTTCAGTTTCAGTTTCAGAGCAGCACCAAGCAGCTTCGGTACAGAACAGTTGAGCTAAGCCACGCCCAGGCTCCTTGCTGTCTCCTCCCTCACACAGCAAATGCTCTTTCAGTTTCCAAACAGCCCTCAACTCTCATACACTGACAGGACGCAAGCCAGATGAATATGGATGGATGCTGGTAGGCAGAGGCAGAATTTTTACCCTCTTATTTTCCTCCCCCAAAACTTGCCCAATCACATAGTTTCTTCGCAAAGCACAGGTACCCAACTAGTTTACAGGTAAGGCTTTCTGGGGGGAGGAGGAAGGGTGAACCTAGCCATTTATTAACCCCTGAGCTTGGAAATAACCCATTTTTAGAATCATCTCTCTCACACACACCAGTCCCGAAACAGAAACCCTCCACTGCAAATACCGAGAGAGAAGCCGCCAACCGCTCTCCTTGCACATCTGTGCCAGCTGGAGGGAGAAACAGGAAGGTGGTGACTTGGCACAATCCGGCCTTCCCTCCCTGCCATTCACCGCTTGCTATATATAGTCTTGGATTTCAGCACCAGCCATTTTAACGGAGAGGCGGGGGTGGGGAGGGTGCTGCACAGGAGGGAAGTTCAGCAAGAGCATCCTTCGTTGCCCGGGAGCGCCGGTTCGCCTCCTTAGCCGGGACTTAGCCGGGAGAGGAGGCCGAGGCACTGCGGCTTGCCTCCTTTCGCTGGCCCGGGGAGGAAGGCCCGTTCGTCCCCCTCCACCAGCCCCCGTTTCAGGAGTCCAGAAACCCTCCTGGCCAGGCAAAACCCTCACCCGTCACGTTTGCCCCAGTCACCAAAGCCCCCGAATCGCTCTGGCACCGGGCGCATCCTTCCCAGCTGCGCCAAAAGGCAGGAGCGAGAAGGGCGCACGAGGTAGCCCGGTTGCGCTTTGCTCCGGACAGCCTCCTCCTTTCTCCCTTCTTCCTTCTCCTCCTTCTCCTCTTCTTCTTCCTCCTCTTCTTCCTCCTCCTCCTCCCCCTTCTTCCTCCTCCTCTTCTTTCTCCTCTTCTTCCTCCTCTTCCTTCTCCTCCTCCTCCCTGGAAAGACCTCTCCCCACCGCCCCCAGGGCTTGGCCCGGCCTCAGCTCATGCTTGGAACCGGGCGCAGCGCTGCTGCGTGCGCCCGGCTGGAGAGACGGGTTTGGCATCCCTGGAGCGCGCCTCTTCCTCCTCCTCTTCTTCTTCCTCCTTCTCTTCCTCCTGCTCTCCTTCTGCCCTTGTCCGGGCAGCGAGTTGGGCTGAGAGCAGCAACCCCATCCGCACTCACCTCCCCGCGCCTGGCCGGCTGCGCTCCCCGCTTGCAAGCCGCCCGCTTCCCTCGCCTGCACCTCTGGCTCGCCCCGCGCCGGGAAGCAAAGACTGAGCGCAGAAGCAGCGGCGGCGGCGGCGGCGGCGGAGCGAAAAGCGGGCTGTTTACTAGCCGGCTCTCGCGAGAGGAAGGAGCCACGGCCCCCAAAGTGGAGGGGGGGTGGAGTGGGGGGTGGGAAGAGGGAAGGAGGGCCGGCCGCCGCCGCCGCCGCCGCCGCCGCCGCGGATTGGCTTCCCCCCGGAGCCGGAGGCTGAGCCACGCCGAGCTGCGACAACGCCGCGTGGAGATACTGGTTGCGGGGCCGGAGGTTGGAAGAGGCATGAAAGTGTGATTTCCCCCACCACCACCACGAACGTTTGCCCCTCTTCACTTTGGAGAGCGAGCGAGGGAGAGGGAGGGAGGGAGGAAGAGAGAGAGAGAGAAGAGGAAGAGAGAAAGAAAGAAAAGAGGAAGTGAGAAACAGAGAAAGAGAAAGGAAGAAAAAGAAAAAATAAAGAACGAGAAAGAAAAAGCAGAGAAAAAGAAAGAACGAGAGAAAGAAAGGAAGCGAGTGAGAAAGAACGAGAGAGAGAGAGAGAGAAAAGCGAGAAAAAATGAGAAAGAAAAAGACAGAAAAAGAACGAGAGAAAGAAAGCGATAAAGAATGGGAAAGAAAGGACGAGGGAGAGAGAAAGAAGGAAAGAAAGAAAAAGAAAAAAGAAAGAAAGAAAGAAAGAAAGAAAGAAAGAAAGAAAGAAAAAAAAAAGAAAGAAAGAAAAAAAGAAAGAAAGAAGAAAATAAGTAAATAAGTAAAATAAAATCAGGGCTTCCCCTTTAAAAGTTTCGGATTGAGACTTCTGGACTTCTTGTCTTGGGGGGAGGAAGAAAAAGGTTGGGGCTTGGCAGCTGTGCGTAAAAGCGCTTTGGCTTCTCGACTTCGGGAATGTCGGGGAGCCAAACGGCGCTTGGATCGCACTGGATTCCCTTCCCTCTTTTCTCCTCCGGCGAACCTTCCCAGGTGGGAAATGAGAAAGGAGAATGAAAGGAAAACCCGGGCTTGGCAAGGATCAGAAAGCGAAGAGGAGTAGAGGGAGCGAAGGCTGCTGGGGAGCAAAAAACCTCTTAATTCGGTTTCCTTCTAGTTCTTCTCCCGCGCGCGCCTCGATTTCTTTCCTCGCTCCTGGCATCATTTTCGCTTCCCCGTGGCTTTCGTTTTTATTTTTTATTTTATTCCCTTTATTCTGCCGGGATCTCCTTCTTCAGTCCATTTCACCCGGGTTCAAAAAGCTCTTGCCTTCCGTCAGAAGGATTCTTGCATTTCCTTTTTCTAGTAAGATTGTGTTCTGTGGCTCTTCGCACAATTCTCCTTTCCTTGTGCGTGATATAATTACTGTCACCAACCCATCATCCTTTGCCTCTTGCAGTCCTAGCAACTGGCAGGGTAACTCCATGCATTGGACTACCTATACTTCCATAGTCATTGCTGTGCCCCAAAAGTGTTCCCCCCCCAAAAAAAAAGTATTGGTTTTTTTTTTTTGGCTGGGGGCGTTGTCCTCTGAAAATGATTCACCTCTCATCCAAAAAGCTTCTTCGGTTCAGAGAAGAGAAGTGAAATGTTTCCAAGGGAAAAGTCTGTGGAGATTCTCAGTCATCCAGGTTGTCTCAAAGGGGCTTTTTTTTCAGGAGGCAACTGGATATTCCTTTTTTTTTTCCTTTTGAAGACATTTCGCTTCTCATCCAAGAAGCTTCTTCAGCTCTGACAGGGTGGTGAGGAATGGAAGGATTTATATTCCTTGCAGACAACTCAGAGGTGGTATTCAGCAGGTTCTGACCAGTTCTGGAGAACCGGTAGCAGAAATGTTGAGTAGTTCGAAGAACCAGCAAATCCCCCCTCTGACTGGAGATTTTACATTATCCTTCCCCTGCCACACCCACAGAATCGGTAGTAAAAAAATGTGAATCTCACCACTGAGGCAGCTGGTCATTTGCATTCTCTCTGGGAGTCATTGAGGCCACTTGGAAGTTTATGTGGGTCCTCAGGGTCATTTCCAGAGGAAATTCCAGAGGATTTCCAGTGGAAAAATTGCAGACAACAGGAACCATTAGCACTACTCAGCTGACCCTGAAGACACAGATAAACCTCCAAGTCACCTCAACAACCCACAAAAAGGATGCAAATGACCAGCTATCTGCAAGGAGTATAAATCCTTCCATTCCCCACCATTCAGTCAGAGCTGAAGAAGCTTCTTGGGTGAGAAGCAAAACGTCTTCAAAAGAAAAACAAGAAAGTCCAGCTGCCTCTTGAAAAAAAAAAGCACCTTTGGGATTTCCAAAGAAAAAAACCAAACAAAACAAATCAAGAACGTCCAGTTGCTTGTTGGGAAAAGCACCGTTGGCACAACCCTGATCTGGGTGATTGAGAATCCCAATAGACATTCATTCCTGCGCCACTAATGAAGATTTTAAAACATGCTTAAACCATGAATTCAAAACACTCTATGCTAAACAGTCACCGTGTTTATTCAGAGTGTCTTCAATTTGCCCAAAGTTGGACCAACTTTTTCTAGATATTCTTCCTGTTTGTACTAGTCTTTTAAGCAAATAAAATAACCCAGATGACACGGTGTTTAGTAAGTACGAACAAAACATAAACCATACAAAATTAATAAAACTTTGTTTAAAAAAAAAGAATAAATGAAAATATCTCCTTGATTCATCGGACGTATACTCATAAACTATGACGTGTTTTCAAATGAGATTAAAGCACTCATTGGTGTGTGGATTTCATCGCCTGAGGCACTAGACTAGACTAGACTAGACTAGACTAGACTAGAACAGAATAGAACAGAATTCTTTATTGGCCAAGTGTGATTGGCACACAAGGAATTTGTCTTTGGTGCAAATGCTCTCAGTGTACATAAAAGAAAAGATACATTCGTGGAGAGTCAAGAATCATAAAATGCAACACTTAATAATAGTCATAGGGTACAATAAGCAATCAAATCATACTAGGAAACAGTCAATAAAAATCATTAGGCTACAAGTAACAAGGTTACAGTCATACAGTCATAAGTGGGAGGGGATGAGTGAAAAGGAGTGGTGAGAAGATTAATAGTAATAGTAATGCAGACTTAGTAAATAGTTGGACAATGTTGAGAGAATTATTTGTTTAGCAGAGGGATGGCGTTTGGGAAAAACTGTCCTTGTGTCTTCTTGTTCTGGTGTGCAGGGCTCTATAGCGTCATTTTGAGGGTAGGAGTTGAAACAGTTTATTATGTCCAGGATGTGAGGGGTCTGTAGATATTTTCACAGCCCTCTTTCTGACTCATGCAAGATACAGGTCCTCCATGGAAGTCAGGTTGGTAGCCATTGTTTTTTTTCTGCAGTCCTAATTATCCTCTGGAGTCTGTGTCTGTCTTCTTGGTTTGCAGAGCCAAACCAGACAGTTATAGAGGTGCAGATGACAGACTCAATATTAAAGGGGACTATGAAATTGCTCTCAAAATGTGCTTTTAGAGGCAGTCCTTGACTTATGACAGTTCCTTTAGTGGCCGAAGTTACAATGGCACTGAAAGAAAAGACTTACGACTGTTATTTCCACGTTTAAGACCTTTGTGGTATCCCCATGATTATGTGATCAAAATTCAGATGCTTGACACGGAGGGGAGTAGGCAGTGGAGTACCCCAAAGGCTCTGTTTTAGGCCCAGTACTCTTCAGCATCTTCATCAAGGATTTGGACAAGGGGATAGATGGGAAACTCATCAAATAATTTGCAGATGGAACCAAGCTGGCAGGAATAGCCGGAAGACAAAGGCTTAAGATACAGAAGGATCTTGACAGACTTGGACGTTGGGCCCTATCTAACAAAATGAAATTCAATGGTGGCAAAAGGAAGGTTCTACACTGAGGCCAGAAAAACCAAAGGCACAGGTACAGTATAGGTGGTACCTGGCTCAATAGCAGTAACTGTGAGAGGGATCTCGGAGTCCTAGTGGACAACCATTGAAATATGAGCCAGCCATGAGTTGCAGCAGCCAAAAAAGCCAATGCAGTCCTAGGTTGCATTAACAGAGGGATAGAATTAAGATCAGGTAGAGTGTTAATATCATTTTATAAGGCCTTGGTAAGGCCACACTTGGAATCCTGCATTCAGTTTTGGTCACCACGATGTAACAAAGATGTTGAGACTCTGGAAAGAGTGCAGAGAAGAGCAACAAAGAGGATTAGGGGACTGGAGGCTGAAACATATGAAGAACGGTTGCAGGAACTGGGTACGTCTAGTTTGATGGAAAGAAGGACTTGCGCGTGACATGACAGCAGTCTTCCAATATGTCAGGGGCTGCCACAAAGAAGAGGGAGACAAGCTATTCTCCAAAGCCCCTGAGGGCAGGACAAGAAGCAATGGGTGGCAACTGAACAAGGAGAGAAGCAATCTAGAACTAAGGAAGAATTTCATGACAATTAAAATTAACCAGTGGAACAACTTGAGTCCAGAAGTTGTGGTTGCTCCAACACTGGAGGCTTTTCAGAAGAGAGTGGACAACCACAAGTCTGGAATGATATTGGGTGTCCTGCTTGAGCAAGGGGTTGGACTAGAAGACCTCCAAGGTCCCTTCCAACTTTATTCTGAATCTGAAATTGTTGTTATTACTTCTGAGGATGAGGCTATCCAGGATAGTGTGTTGTTCTTTTCTTCTTCTGTTGTGCGTTTTATTCCTTGGAACACGTTGATAGCTTCTGTCTCCAGTTGTTCTATTTTTATTACAACAACGGTGTGTTGTTGTCCACATACCAGGTTCATAGTTTTGATTGTGGGAGTGTTCTAGTTTCTACCTGCTGCATTATGACCCTGAGGGCAGGGAGCCCATGGGTGTTCCTTGGATTTGTTGGCCTACCTGTCCATCAGACTGAAAAGAGGTAGTCCAGCAGCCTCACACTCCCTCGCTCTGATGACGTTACCTAGTTGGGTCGTGAAACATCTGTGAGAACAAGCAAGCTTGGGAAAGCAACAAGGACTCCAATTTCTGGATGCTGTTAGAAAATAGATTTTTGTTAAGCCAAAGTCAGCCAGTGCATTTCTCCGTTTGGCTTGGTGAGGTAAGAAGCAGTAGTTCGTA